TGAATGAAAGAAAGAAACAAAAAAGGGAAAAGGGGTATTAATGAGATGTGAAAAGTGGGGAATATGACTCTGAGAGAGAAAAGTCGGTGGAAAATAAGTCCTTTCACCATTTTCAACCCTTTACTTTTCCCATCTCCTCTCTTGCTTTTATTTCCATTGTTCAAAATGATTCCACTAAAAAAGGGCAATATGGGAAAATTACATCGATCATTTGTCCTTTTGTTCAAAAAATAAATTAAATTAAGAATGAGTGGGAATGCCTAGTGAAATGTTACTTGTATAGGCTGGTTTACAGCTTGTTTTTTGTAATCCCATCTGTTAAAAAAATCGGTGCAAACATCATTTTCCAAATGCCTAATATTAGTGATGTCAAGTAGGACGAACTACTCACTCCACTAGTGAGCCGGTGACTCATAAGTTTGGCGTGCAAGCAAGCTCATCGACTTGTGAACTTAGATCGTCCTTGGCTGGCCTGCAGTATGCAGCCATGCAAAAATTGCACCTTCATGCAAGGGGTACAATCAATTTGGATCTTTCTTTTTTTTTCGTTAGGTCGAATTCAAAGTTTATAAATATGGATGAGGTAAAACAATATTGGCACAATTCAGTACAACTAGCATTACGGAATTGTCTTGCTAATGTTGTGATGGTCGACACAGGACAGACTCAACTTCATTTTGGTTCAAGCAAAATGCAGGAGTTCTTGCAAGCTAGGTTTTATAATCCAGAAAGAGTGCACTTAACAAATTTCAAACAAACGTATCTTCAACATAGGAACAAGCCGACTAAATTAACCAACTCAGCCCAAATTTTCATGCAAAATCCTTGCATGTGAGATTTTTTAAATCAGCATTTTCAATTGTATGTGCAGATCTGAACTTACCCAACGTGATGTTTGCAACAGATACAGGTAACATGTGAAATTTTACTTATCTCATGCTACAATTATGCATTGATTACGATGTGATTATTACTGACTTTTATAATAGCAGACATTGATAGGGTTCTAATTATGATTGTTACTCTAATGATTGGTTAACTGTTTTTGAGGATTTACTTTGATGCGACCATTGCATGCGCAAACCTCTACCATCCGACAATTCTTCTTGTTCTAAATCATTTTTTTAGTATTGCAAGAAGTTTTAGTAAATATAGAGATTGTTTATGGACCCTCGTATTCATTTATAGGTTGTAAAGGAATATCAAGTTTATTATTTATTTTTTTGCATTTAACATTTGATGTATTAATTATGCAACGTGACGTAGGAAGTACCTCGTGCAATTTTATATTTACAATATGTTGTAATAGAGACAGAGATAGGGGGGCGGGGGGGCTATTGCCCCCCAACATTGTCTGCTGTTTCGCCCCCCTAAAATTTTGACTCGCCCTTGCAAAATTTTGAATTTTTTTTCCTTTAATCCAATAACTTACACTTTAAATTTCAACCATACAAAAATTTTAGACCTAAACAAAAGATCCAGCAATTATTTAAATAAATAAATAGCTCAGATCCAATAGATGTGTGCCAATTGTTGGCATTGACAAGAAAATC